CATAATCAAATCAAAATATTTTAAAGAAAGAGAATCAATTATATTTACGGTTGATAATAAGTTTGAGAGTAAAATGGATTCAGTGTATTAGATTATAAAATTCCGTATCCATATGTTATTGTTTTAGGCCAGTAAGATCAACCATGGCATAGGCTGCCGCTTCATGCTTAAAAAATGCAACATATTAATAAACAAATAATAGAGTTTTATTCATCGTCAATGCAATTTCATCTAATTGAAAATGGAGATCCAAAGAGTCTAAATAGAGAAAGAGGAATGCAAAATGGGGGGATCCAAATAAAACCCAAAAAAATAAAGGAAAATAACGAAGGTGGGAAAAATAAAAAAGAAAAGAAGGGACAGGAACAGATTGGTACAGCTGTAAGAGGGCCCAAAATATGAGGTGGTAAGAACGTGCGTGGCGTTTCTCCCGGATTTGTGAAACCCCCCAACTGCCAGGCATCTTCCCCATTATGCCCAAATCGGTGCACATGCTTCTTGCCTGCCTCTCTTTGCTTTCTCATCTTCATTTTCATCTCCCTTAACATTCTTCACATTCACATGTTATTACGTCTCAGCCAGCCTCACATCATGCTCTCCTTTTAAGTCTTTATTTACACCCCTTCATCCCGTTCCCATCTACCCCACCCACAAATAAACCTTTGTCAATATTGAATTGTGTCATGCTTATTGATTTGTTCTATTTCATGATTATTAAAAGTATTTGATTATAATTTTAATTGTTGCGAATATATGCATAATGTCAATAACAATTTATATTTTTCATTATAATAATAATAATAATTATTATTATTATTATTCTTTGCTCGTTGGTATATGTCAACTTCCTGTTTCTGCTTTATTTTTTTCATATGTGTTTTTTTATTAGTTTGCAAATAATGTTTTGTGTATGCAAGTGATTATTTAAGGTGCTTATTTTTATTTTTTTGAGAAATGCAAAAGTATTTTATATATCCAAGAAAGCAGTGAAAGTCCTGCTACAGGAGTGTAGTACATCAACCAGTGAGACTAAACAAAACAAAGAAACAAACAAGTAGAATCAATTGTCTGAAAGTATCCAACTATGACAGAGATTGGAATTTCTAGCTTTGATCTCCTGAGGTAAATGTGAAGCCTGAAACGAACTGAATCCATAGCAGCCTGAGAGATTTCAGTTGTAGTACAAGCTTTCTTCCCATACGTCCCGTGTTATTCCTCAGAGTCAGACAAGATAGATGTACGCATTCCAAGCAATCTTATAAATAACCACAGGGAGAGATTTCCACCTCTTCAAGCCAGTCACCAACAGGCCTGTGTATATTTGAACACTGCAAAACTTATACAAGAGTAGAAAAAAGAAAGATTATCCCTATCCTCATCAGTTGCAAACTTTAATTAAAGTAGTTTTATCAATTCCATTACATCTGAATCAGATGGTCTTCTCTTCTTTCTTTTCTTTTTTTTTTTTTTATTTTCTTCCTGTGTGAGCTGAACCCAATATGAAATCAAATCAGTTCAAACTGTGGGTATAGATCTTTTTCAAGTAAGTTCCTGCCGGCGACTAAAAAACAAAAGAACAAAAGCAGGCCACTCTAAGCTTAGTTTGTCATTGAAGAAAAGTCTGCAGGTAAACAGAAAATTGCACTGAAAAAGTTGTGCTGGAAAAAAAAAAAAGATAAGAAAAGAAGTATTGAAAAGTTCAATAAAACAACAGTTGAAATGCGATGGCAAAAAATAAATATCTGAAAAACCATGGCACATGCAATACTTAAAATGGAAAGGAAGTGTAAATAGGGTCCTTTCAGAACGTCTCGAACGCAATTCTAAACCACAAAAAGGGCGAGCAAATTGATTTGTTGTGTTTTAAGTTGTATATTTGCGTTCCATTCAACTCAAATTAATGCATGCAACCAGATAAGAAAAAGAACATGGCATTCTGTTTGTGGTCCATATCCACTTTTGGGGTTTATATGCAATGTCGAACAAACTCACAATCAGAGCTGAGCCCTTTTTTTTTTTTTTTTTTTTTTTTGGGTAGAGAGATCTTGCTCTACAGCTAAAAGCAATTTGCAGATCAAAATTTGGAGTAGAACAGTAAATACATTGTTTTTATAATTAATAAAAATCCCACTTGAGTGTCCATTTTTTGTACTTCTTCTTCCAGTTGGGTTTTGAATATTATGACAAAACAAAGGCAAAAGGAAAACAGTTTCACCCCATGATCGCAACCTCTACCGCCAACGGGCTACTACATAACACGCGTCAAATGATAGATTTGTTGTCAAATTGGATGGTGCGAATAAAACAAAAGGCAAAAATGGGATAACAGCTGAAAAACGTCTTTACCTCAATCATTTTTTTTTTTTTAAATGTACAGTTATTGAGAAACGCGGATTGAAAGACTCTCTCGTCTTTAGCGGTCATTGGTTTTTGCTTTCAAGACTAGTCTGCAGCAGGCGTGGATTCCCCATTCCTTGGTCAAATTCAAATTGACTTCCATTTCGCCCTAAATTTGGCAAATGTCAAAAGAATTGCCTCCATGGTAAGGAAATCGTGTCAACATTTACGGGGTGCAATGCACAGCGGCAAAGAGCAGTCAAAGCTGGAGGACTACGTCTCTCGACAAGCTATCTTGACAGAGAGTTTCTTACCTTGTTAGAAAGTGGAATGGGGATCTAATGCTCTCTGCAGGATCTAATGCTCCACAATAAATCAGGGGAAGCAATATCAGGAAGAAGATAAGGACAGCTAAAAGGTTAAAACAAGTAGAAGGAAAATTGAGCATTATGAAGGGGATTTAATCTTTGCAAATAGTAGTTGCAACTGACAGTACCCCCAAAGTTCATAAATTATGATGTTGAAAATTACCAATACCGTATTAATGAAGCAAAGGATTATCTTACATGGCTGCGTCCCTGTCACATAAGTAAAATGAGAAAAGAATATTTGCAAGCGTTGGTTAGATCTACCATTTGAGAAATGACATTAAAAGCTCTGTCAGCAGAATGACAAGGATTGAGATATCAGATCTATATTTGTCTTTCTTATAATAACTAAAATTTTATCTTCTCCAATATTTCTGCCTTTCTATATGCATTGACAAAGACTGAAAGACAAGCAGCAGATTCCAGTGCGTCCAAGTCATTCTTTCCCTTAATATACTGAAAAAAATAGTATACACTTTGAAAACAAGTGACTAGGCAATAACCATCAAAGAACTGAAGGGTATTCACTCCAATTTGGTCACAATATGATCAAAACACACCTTTTTTTCATTCACAAATAAGAAAATGAAAATCCTACCTGTTAACCATCCTCATTCACATGCATCAGCAGCCGTACCACCCCCCTACCCCTCTCCTCCTCCCAAATTAAATTCAACGGCAAACATGCCACTACAAGTTCCATACCAAGAAAAGATAGTCCAATGGATGCCAAATAACTTGTGTACTTTTCATGCCACATAAAAAAAATTTGAGGAAAAAGAAAATCTTCCCAAAATAGAATGGAGGCAAAGTCACTCGAATGCAACTAAAGTTTAGATGTGTCCCATCTAAATAAATAAACCAAAATTCTAATGGGTCTCAAGTAGAAAGTTACAGTTTTGTCCAGATATTATTAGAGGCATATAATTCATAAAATATCAGTTAGTGAGCAGGAGTGAAATATGATTTAACAGAGGTCCTCAAATTCCCAGCAAGTCCTCAAATGCTCATTACAAAAGCACAAAACAATATGATTTAAGAAACAATGTAACAAGTTGCACCTAACATGCAGTTGTTAGCCTTTCTAGCCAGAGACTGAGTTATTCCTACAATTTGGCAAACTTGTAAACTTGTAAGTCTTACAGTGCCATCAAATACCTTGATCAAATTGACTTCTTAAATGCTAGCTTCACTCATCTTCCCAAGCAGGTGTACACTATCAGTTCCTTCTCAACTAAGTCAGCAAATCATTAGTTTCTAAACTACTTGATTTCTTGAGTAACTTCAAATGATAACAAAGTTAAACTCCCCATGTTTAACAGAGGTTTCAATGATACTGCAAAGTTGTTCACGTGACAAGTTGCATCTAATATGCAGTTGTTAGCCTTTCTAGCCAGTGACTGAGTTATTCCTACAATTTGGCAAACTTGTAAGTCTTACAGTGCCATCAAATACCTTGATCAAATTGACTTCTTAAATACTAGCTTCACTCATCTTCCCAAGCAGGTCTACACTATCAGTTCCTTCCCAACAAAGTCAGCAAACCATTAGTTTCTAAACTACTTGATTTCTTGAGTAACTTCAAATGAGTTAGTCTAACAAAGTTAAACTCCCCATGTTTAACAGAGGTTCCATTGATACTGCAAAGTTGTTCACATAACATACTTCTAAGTGGTTCAGTTAAGCAAACTTTAAACAAGTTTGTTTCCTTTTTCTTCTTATCTGAGACCTTTAATCAAACTCATGATCATCACTTTCACACGTTAATATGCTAGACTTGTTCTAGGACCTTTGTTTCAATATGCTAGCTTCATGTTGAGACTCAGGAACAATTCAGCACAGCATCAATCAAAGGAACACCAAAGAAAACCAACATTTTACACCATCATTCCCAAAATTGAAGTTCAGGTATGTGGACAGAAGCCAAAGACAAATTGGATATTCTGAAATTGCATAAGCAAATGAATTAAACTAAGGTAAGCTCTACTTACACATAATTACTATCTTCCCTGGCCCTAACACCTAAAAACAAGCAACCACCCAGATCATCGAATTTCAGACCTCAAGTAACAATCAAAAGGGAAAAAAAAGTAATAAAGAAAAGAAGAAATGATGTCAGAATTACAAAATAACGCAGCATAAATTCCTGACTTAAATTGCAAAAGAATGTAGAAAATTAAGCAGACAGGGACACCTACTAACTTAGGGTTATCTATTGTACCAGCCAATGCAAATGAATGGCCAAAAGAGAGATACAAATCTTCAGCCATTGCATCAGCATCTCCTTCACTTTAACGGTTAGTCACATAAATTTTCATGCAAGCAGACATGTTAATCTAATGAGAAAACGTAATGTTTTTGTTGTTCTTGTTTCATGCTAGGGAAAGAACTCCACATATATAACCAGGCAAGTTTAACTTTTAATTGCAACCTCGCCATTAAGAAAAAGGGCCAATAGTTTATAGGCCTTCTCTATTTTGCTGTTAATCCCAACGAGGGACCAGCCACAATTCCAAAATGAATAACATGACAATTATAATCAGAGTCAACTGAACTTATGTAGCCAAGTCAAACAACAAAGCAAGTCCATTTGGCCCCCGAGCTCTAACAAAGGCTGTAAGAGATGGCTGGCAGTTTGGTAGAGATCCCAGGTGCTAACAAACATGTTGCAGAAATAATAGATTCATTTTAATACTGGGCATTTGAGGAAAATAAGTGCTAACTAATGTCCCAAATTTCACATAAAGACTTCTTTTATCAGAATGCCAGATCAGGCATATCACCCATCACAGAAAGGATAGAACTGCTGAAGAAAAGGAATCAAAAGTAAACGAAGCAAGATGACCTGAGCACTGAGAAACTGCCTGTTAATTGCTTTATATTTGAATGACATTATAGCATTATTGAAAGACATCCCAGTTTTACTTCCACCTACTGACCTCATTTCAACATTTTGTAGCATAATATAGAGGAACAATATATCTCATTGGTTTAACAATCATTGATCAAGAGAACTAAAAGGCAAAAGAAAATTACCGACTTCCTTATATATACAGCTCTTACAGTGCTAAAAAAATCATGCAACTGGTAGTTTCACGCCTAAAAAGTCTAGCAAATATGCTATTTTCAACATAGAATTTAGAAGAAAATTCAGATCAAATGGCCAATGAACTAATAAATCAAGGGGAAAGTCCTTCAGGGAAAAGTCAGGGGCACTAGAAGAAAAGGCAATAGAATAGATGCATGGAAATGATAGATATCCTAGTAACATAATTAAGATGCTCAAAGGCGCATGTTTTCTTTCAATCACAGGGTTAAAGACAGGATATAAATCAGAAGACAAAACAAGAACAACTTAAGCTAATGATTGCAACCACAGACTCTCAAGCAGAAGTTGTTCTCGACCAAGGTTTCTTTTAATACGCATGATTTAAAGAAATGAATTGTTCTTTAACCCAGGACAGATTGTGACAATGCATCCACAAGGCATTCAAAACAAGATGTAGAGACTGATTTCCAGAGGGGCTAAAAGTTGTAATCACTTTAGGTGACCTCTATTAATAATAATGATTCATTTATTCAAGAAAGAAAATTATAAAACAAGCAACCACCTGGCTAAGAATTATGCTACTATGATATATTGTGTAACTCAAGTCTATAAAGCATAAATTCAGTCACATGGAATCAATCATGATCAACTAAAAGATTCTCTTGAATACACTGGAGTACATATAATGCCCTGTATTCTAATTGGCAAAAAGAAGTTCAATACAGCTTGCAATGGTAAAATAGGATTAATTAGACAGCACCAAGTAGCTAATAACAAACAGACAATGCCTTTTTTACAGGGTCAAGCTTGAGATCCGTAAGTGTTCAAATTTAAACAGATGAGAACATCAAAACATGTTTATTGATATATTTTGAATCAGCTTTGATATAAGATTCTTCCCCTTTACTGAACTAGCCATTGTCCACTCCTAAAATTGTTTACATGGCCAATCACCTAGATGGTGGATTAGGTGTCTTCCAGACTCAACATCTCCTTTCATTTGGAGCAAGCCCAAGCAAAAACTATGAAATTAAATCAAGGCACAGACAAGACCAAGAATCTTGAGGTGCATCAAAAATAATTAACTAATTTAACATTTCATATCGACAAATAACTACCAGTTTCACTCACTTCATCGGCAAGCTCAAAATGCTAGCTATCGGTATATGATGAATTACCTTCTGAACAAAACTGAAGGCAATGAATGGAATGACTGAGCTGAAGTTGGTCTAATCTTCAACTCTATCAACTGAGTAAAACAAAGCACTGCAATATCTGATATAGGGAAGTAAGATTATGAGAAAAATGTCCAATGTCAATCTCCAGGCAGACCCAAAAAATTTCCATGCGGCTAAAGAGCATAAAGCACAACATAGTTTGAGGTCCATCTTGAAGCCTATATATATACTCAACAGCATCCCTCCATCATTCACAGAGAATCAGTAGAAGAACTGAGAGCTCCCTTCTCACATTGCCCAACGGTTAATCTAAGGAGTTCATCACCGGTATTGTTTACCTTGCAACATAACCGACGAGGCACCTGCCAGAGTAAATTCAAATCATCATGAAACTGAAAAAGCAAGAAACTACCTAAAGGGGGAAAAAATACTTAGGAATAATTATGAGAACCTGACGCACCAGATGCCAATTCTTTCCAAGAGGATACCCTAAAACTTGAATTTTCTGCACGTATTGCAACGGAGGGGAACTTGGAAAGCAGAAAACCTTTCTTTTCAAATCATCTTTGGATTTTGCCCGAGCATATGACCCCGATGTAGCATTAGCATCTTTCATCACATCTTTGAGGAAAAACATAACAGGTTTTTTACAGACAGATTTGGAAGAATCCCTGGTGTCGTGATCAAATTCATTGCGATGTCTTAATTTATTCCAGGCAATGTAGGTTTGCTCCGAACGTTCTAGCTCACGAGGCAGCACAATATTTGGGAACACTTGAACAACATAACCGATTGAAACTGAAAAAGTTAGACGCCGAACACGATCATAACAGATTGATCGTTGTAGAAAGCTCCTGGGTTCAATTCTCATAGCTTTTGTAAAAAGTTTTAAACTGTCTAACGAAGTTAACCCAGGATAAAATGGATCCACATATTCAACATGGTGGATTGAAACGAATGGTGCAATAGGATGAGAGGATAAAAGACCATGCGCATTTCCTCTAATATCCCACTACCAAAACAAATATAATAATTAGTTAATTATATTTAACTAAATTAATTAGCAAAACCTTTAAATATTTTATCTATCTTATGATTACCTGGTGAAAACCATGCTCTCTGGTGAGAGGAACTCCGAGTTCAGTAATGCAGGCGTGTAGACGATCATCGCTTCCATATAGCTTCGGGTACCTCTCGATGCAATCGTCAAGGAAGTTGGAGAGAGCCTCCGCGAGAGGATAACTGATGGCAATGCCGCCACCGCCAAATGCCATGGAGTGACTGAAATACGCGTTGGCAGAGTGGCTTTCCGAAGGAGTTCCGATGTACATCATCTCGGAAGGATCGTATTTGCTTAAAACTGCCACCAGATTGTCTACGTTGAAAACCGTGTCGTCGTCTCCTAAAACGAACCAGCGGACGTCGGGGAGACGGAGGCCGAAGGATTCCGTTAAAATTCGGGAGATTCGTAGACCCGAAGGGTGGCCCGTTGGGTTAGTGTAACGGAAACGTGAGATGTCTTCCGAGACCATGAGTGGTGGAAGCGAATCGTCGGCTTCTTCAGGTGGGACCTGCTCTTCTAACCAGACGTGACCTCGCATTTCCAACGGCCGCCACCAAAGCCTAAGTAACTCTTTCCGTTGTTTCCATAGATGCGAGGACCCTGCTATTCCGAACACGATGTCGTTTAGTAAAAGCTCTTGTCTCTCATCCGCAAGCTCCGAGAGGCTGCGGTTTCGAGGAGAGGCTAGTGGCGGTTGGAACAGAGGAGGCGCAGGGATTGATAAGCGAATGGGAGAAGAGGACCAGGGGAGAGAGCGGGAGAGGGAAAGGGGACTGCCTTCCCAGTCCTTGAAATGACGCCAGCAACGTGTGGTGGTGCCGGAGAAAACCAGAGAGAGCCAGGCGGTGGTGGAAATAAGCAACGCGGCAACCGCAACCACGGCAGTTACCGTGCGGCTCTGACGCAAACGACGACATCGACTTCTAGCGACGCGCGGAGACCACTCATTGGTTACAGCAAGGTTATTATCGCAAGGCAACATCATGACGTTGAGCAGCCTCAACCTCAGCGCTCATTTCCGCCACCCTAATCAAAACGGCAACTGAGAACAAGTAAAACGGCGGGGGAAAGCGGAACGTACAAAAGGATTTTTGTTGAGAAAGATTTGAAGGGTTTAAGATTTGGTAAAGCAGTTGCAGTTGGAAGGACGTAATTGGGCTTTCTTCTCTCTTCCCACTTTTCTTTCTATCTTGGGTGTTTGGATATTTTCTGTGTGTGAGATTTTTGGACTCTGTTTTTGCGATTTTTTCAAATTCTGAAACAGGACGCGTAAGGAATTGGGCCAGATGGATGGATAGAGCCGTTGCGTTTTTGTAAGCTTTTTTTATGCTGGAACCTCTACTTTCCGCTCTGTCTTGTCTCTGCTGGCTGCTGTCCCAGGAAACCATTTTCCAACGTCCTCCAAAGTTCTTCTGGGAATTGAAGAAGCCACACAACCTTTTTTGTATTTGTTTTTATCTCATTTTGAGCATCTTTTATGCATAAATATCGCTGATTGCCAAATAAGCAGTTGCTGTACCAAAGTTTTTTTCCTTCATTACAAGGCAAACTAATTATGCTTAGCTTTGCAACAAGAAATCTGCATGTGCATTTTGTCTGCATGCCGCATGCTTATTGCCTCCCGAAATTCCTTGTTGGAAACAGCTCCCAAGCAAATTCGAATTCAAATGAGGATTTGGGTCGTTTTCTTTTATTTTCTTTGGCTGAATAAATCCCGAAAAATAAACTAGTTTATTAAAGGGCTCACTGGCACAGTAGTACTAGTTCTATTTCTCCTTTTCTTGGCAGAAAGAAATATGGTCTCAGAAAAAAAAATGCAGAATATTGCCACGTGGTTGGAATGTCTCTGATCGAAAGTAAAAGCAATGACGACCCTAAAGAAATATGGTCTCAGAAAAAAAAAAGAGCAGAATATTGCCACGTGGTTGGAATGTTTCTGGTCGAAAGTAAAAGCAATGAAGAGCTTCTTGGAACATACGGCCCGAAAGCCCATCACCTTTCACCAAAGGCCCGCACGTGCAAGCCCCAGTCTCAAGTACGGGAAGAAGCAAGGGATAGACAACGACGACTGAGACTTAATTAAGAGAGAAGGCCCAAAAGAAAATGAAAGAAAGCGATCGTTTATAAAAGCAACCGGGCACACGCCCCACCACTTCTCTTTCAGTCTTAACACTGGGATGGACGTGTCAAGGATCACGCTTATCGAAATTTCAATTCGGTTTGCTTAAAAAATACGTGGGTCGGACGAACGTCGCAATCATTGCTATTTGTCTGCAATGCATCATGCTTTGTATTGAAAGGGGGAAGAGTATACAAGCATAGAAGGGAGCATCGTTATTGGCAAAATGGATTAATCAAGTAAACTTAAAGGAAACTATAGGAAAATCATGCCATAAAAAGGTTAAAACAATACTAGAAAAAAAAGGGAAAACTATATCTTTCTATATAAGAAAGAAAAAAGGTAAATGACGAATTATTGTATGTTTCTTAATTCTAAATTAATAAGAGTAGAAATATATATGATTGATTATAAACAAAAGTTGTGCATCGAAATTTTGATTTCCTCTTTCCTTTTCTTTTCTTCTTTTTTTCTTAGCATTATTGTAATATTCTTTATATCCCTATCTTTCTCTTTCTTTTCTTTTTCTTTTTTGTGTGGTTTTGACGTTGCTCTCAATATGTAACTCGTGAAGTTACTCTTCGACAATTATTTAAAAAAAATGGAACAAGAGTGCTGATATTATGGTAGTTAAAATAAGGCTATTATGGCTGTTCCCGTGCCAAATATCCCTTTAAAATATTTATTAGCTTTTATATAGTAATTTTTTATTTTTTAATAATTATTATTAAATATTAAATTACTCAACATTCACATATGATATGAATGTAATTGTTAAAACTTATATAACAATCGAAATCTATTATTATTAACAATTTGAACTTAAGCTTTTGAGGACAATATGATTTAAATACAAAAAGTTATTAATCTAATGGTTTGACTAGAGTCGTTACAATGACATCAAAGCCCAAGTCGTTACAATGATATTAGAGACTGAGTCAGTTCGATGTGGGCTTTTACATTGTTCTGATAAGATATTTGTGATTGATAAGACATATATTACAATCCAATTCTACTACTACTAGCAACTTGAGCTTAAATTTTTAAAAATAGCGTAATCAAATTTTATTACTATTAGCAACTTGAGCTTAAACTTTTAAAAATAGCGTGATTTAGGTTCAAAAAGTTATTGAATCAGTAGTTAGATTTAGGTCGTTATATATTTAATAAATATTAAAATAGTAATTAAAATGTAATTTTCTTTTCTTTACATTAAAAGTTAAAAATTTTGAATATAACTATTAATTTAAAAAAATATATGTGTGTATCGATTACTAAATCAAATTATATAATATAATTTTCTCTATCAAATTAAAATATGCAATTGTTATGCATAAAAGTTTAATTTTTATTTTTTAAAATTTTAAATTTTTAAAAAATACATTTTATTATATTTAAATATACTCTTATTTGTTACTTTTAACATAAAAAATATTAATTAATAAAATAATAATTAAAAAATTAAATATATTCATTAACATAATTTTAATATAAATTAATTTATATCTACACTCTTATTTTGTAGGATGCATATTCATGCTGGTTGGACGTTGGAAGTTAACTCAAGATTAAACAACATGGAGTATTGTTTCAGTATTTTTGAAATTTATAGTGAAATGATTAGACATAGCGTTAAGTTATATGTATAATATGTGCATATCAGAGTAGTTAGTTTATTGATTGGTGTATAATCATTTTAATTAAAAAGTAAGATTTAAATTTTTTATTTTTCAAGTTGATACATTATTTTTTTATTTAAAGAGTAAAGTTTAATTTTTTTAATTATAAAAAATATATATAAAATATATCATGTATGCGCTTCCTTTGTAAGACACGTATACATATTTGTGGGACATGGAAATTAGCTCGAAATTAAACCACGTGGCTGTTCGTTTCGGTACTTTTGAAATTTCCAAGGAAAACGATTAGATTTAGCGTAGAGTAGTATTTGTCTACAATGAAGATTGGGTATCGTCTTTAAGAGAGTAACCGAAGGTAAAGATGATCTTGCCAGGCTGGGTTGTTCAACCTTGGAAGGCAAGGTGTTGTTGGATTTTAAATACTACTCTACATATCTACTGTGTAATCTATTATTGTGTTTTCTTTGGGGTTTCAGCCTCTCGTGTCACACTTAAACTTTATTTATTTCTAATAGGTTTTGCCCATCCTTGTTGTTGACTTTGATGTCATAGTTGTAATATAGTATAATTTTTAATGAATCTATTTATTTGATCGAAAAATGGAAAAGTTCTATGCATTAAGTTGAGTACCATACATCGAAAATTTTAAAAAAAAGCCCCCTGCTCTCTTGTCTCTTGTGCCTTTATGCAATAGTGCCAAGGCAATCTCTTCCAACCGCTTTGGTTGGTGAAGGGTGCCGTTCAGTGCCATGTCACCATCCCACTACAGGGATCATTGGGACAAGATAAAGATATATGCCTCTATAAATTATTATATAATAAAACGACTCTATGAGTTTTTGGGTTTTTATATTTCCTTTTTGTTCTAAAGTCTGGGGATTTCCTTAGAATTGTCATTTGTCATGCTTGCACCTTCTTATAGATCAATGAATGATAACCAAATAACATATTTTCTTAATTATTATAAAACAATTCAACTACAACCTTTTATTTCTGTTTCTCTCTTGCTTATTTTCGTTAACTTAGAAGGGTGGAATAAATAAGGAAAGAGTGAAGGGAGCAGTGAAAAGTATGAGTGGGATTTAAGAAAGATAGTCTTAAAAGCAAATGAAAACAAGGAGAGAGAAAGAGCAAAAAGAAAAAGAAAGTACAAATAAGGAAATATTGAAAGCAAAAAGGAGATGGGATTTGCTAGCCAAATCTGTTATCAACATCCCAAATCAATATTGATCAATGTCTAATCTAACCAAAAGCAGCTAATCAATGCCCCGCCATAATAGATTTATGTCAAATCAATATATTGGTCATATTTGGCATTGAACCTAGCCATAATTAAATGCGACAAAGAACAAAAAAACAAAACATAAAAATAAAAATAAAACAAATAAACAACTAATTGTCACATTTTCCGTCAGGCTCTTGATTTCAACAAAGCTAATTTATCCTGTTAGATTGGTACATTATTTTCATAGTTTTAGTAACGTAGTCTAGGAAAAATATTTAATTTAAATAAACTCACAAGGTTAATTTTGTGAGCAGTAGATTTTTTCTTTGGAATAATAAGAGAGAGAAAGAGAAACAAAACCGATCCACTTCG